ATCATGAACATTCTGCATAAACATAAGCGTCGTGTTTCCTGAACCTTCCAAACCATGCACTCAGTTGGACTCTATAGCAGTTGGCTACAATCGGCGGTCCCGTGATCAGGAATGTCGCTCCTTTTGGTGCAACAATTCATGCCGTACGTATTAACCATGCTGTACCTCGTTTCCTAACAGCTAAAAGACTGTTATATTATCCACCGCTTGCAAGATTTAGCCTCCAAATAAGTTTACCAGTAGCAAATAGCTGAGCAGTTTGTGAAGGTGAAAACAACTGGTGGGCCAAATGAAGTCTGTTCCAAGAGACAACATGATGTGAATTCAGCGGCTGACTATGTGTCTCCAAAAAGAGGATACGGCCCAATTCACGCTGAATCTCTTGGTGATACATGCCACTGGTCGAAGCGAGGAATAGTACAATTTCATGAGAAGACCTCTCGTGTGATGCCCAACCGAGGAAGATGTTGGCTAAAAATCCCAGAAAACGGAATAGACGGTGGCAAGTAGAAGTAATCAAATTCCTTTATAATGCATCAGCAACATCTGGCCAAGAAAGTTGCGGTTCAGTATGTTTATTATGAAGGACGACACCTCGAAATTCCACACCATATCCAGCCGAGTGCTTCAGAAGACGAAACACTTCTAAGAACATTTTGGCTGACCTGATATTTGCAGCGTAATGATCAATTTGCCAGCAGCACCATAACTGGGTTTAAACTGCTCTGTTTCACCATAAAGTGAAATCGGAAACGAAATTAACCTTTTGGAGGTTAACAACACACGCGATGCTGACTGTCTTGCACGGAAGGGCGAAGGGCCTGTTTAGTCTGGAGAAATTAGTACCGAAAATTTGGAAGATGAATAGAATGACAGAGGAATGGTAGATATATGATATCGCTCCTGCCTTCAAAAGTGTTTTCGTACCTCAGCGTGTGACTAGTTAGCGTATCAGTTTGGTCACTGATTAACTCCACTGGGTACTGTTGAGTTATCTTCTACTTACAAGTCCTGCCTAGTCAGGCTGGTTCAGATCTGCATCAATCAGCTGTTGTCGTCTCTTCTAGCTGGTTGGACAGCTCAGTAGCGCACCGGCCACATCCAGCGTAAATCAGGAGTCTTTGAAATGATAGGTCACGACATCGGTTTGGTAATAACAAGATTCCAAATTCTATCCTTAACGTTGTCGCGTCGATAATGTCTATCCGTGGACCAACCTCCAAATCTTCTGTCTCACATGCAGACAATTAACTTTGAAGAATCGTACAACCGTGATCATCCTGGAACTAAGTCTGACCACACGAATCTTTCTCAGTCTTGGGTTTCAACTAATTAAGTCTTTTGACATGGGGCTTCGAAAGTTGCTTTCCACATTGTATATTTATACGAGAATCCGGTATTTTATTGAACTACAGTTATGAAAAACCATCTTTTGTTTCACAGGTGATCAGCCATGCTTCGGACACAGGAGCGACTTTGGTTCAGCAGCCGTGTGGAACACCTACAATCAAGTAACATCATGCTTGAATTTTAACAATCACATCAAATTGTCTTGCAGACACGAGGAGATATTTTGACCTTCGGGAGTGCACTTCGTTCTATTCTTCCTAGCAGAGCTACTGTTGGGCTTTATGGGAGAAACTTACCCGAAGTAAGTTGGACTAATTGCATGGTTTTCGGGTCGAGGGCTGTTTCATCTTTATTGGTGGTCCCATATAATCTAGAAAGGTTTTTGCTTATGAGGCGAGGCTAATAATTTACCTATCATTTATTCTGAGTAACTACTTCTTTGCTGCTTCTACTAACACCATCGTTCCGTAGTATCTACAAAAATCTCAAATTACAGCAACCTTTCTTGAATAGACAATAACTAAATTTATCACACTTGCTCCTAAGTAACGGACGTGCCTGGGAGAAGTTGGTCGAAACCGATCGTCGTACAACCACCAATGTAGTAAACTGCTATAGTGGCAAATACCCGACAAATAACTCAACCATTTCTCGAAAAACTGGATTGCTGTACCACAATTTTACATGTTGGTTAAATAGAACATATAGAACGAATGGTGAAGTTAATGATCACAGACGCGCACAACCGTTCCAGAAAATACGAATCAACGAGGGCAAGACAAGCTGCCTGGCTAAAATTGGTCCACACCAATTGGCAGAACTTGGAGCAGCAATCGGACGCCGAGTAGATAATGCCAAGATCAAAAGCAGAGCAACCATAGGAACGAAATTATGGGAAATCACGTTAAACAGCAAACATGACAGTTACGGCATTGGGATCAAAAACTGGACTGGCCGCTAACTCAGCATGGATGAGCAAGAACCTCTTTCGAGAGGACACAACTTTAACGTTGAGAACGCGTCCCACAACGGCTACCTATCCAGCTTAGAACTCGCTTTGGAATCAAGCGAACTATGGGATGAGTTTGAACAACCGATTCGACAGACAATCCTACCGGCGTTCACACGGAATAGAAACATGCATATGATTTCCAAACAAGAACGAGACGTACTCAGACGCATTCTACAAAAGGATGAAGCAAACATAATATGGCCGGTAAACAAAAGACGCGTCAAGGTGATAAAGGATAAGTGAAAAGGCCAAACAACTACTAAATGACAACTACTAAATGACCTACAAGTCACTCAGTCATGACCCAACTTCGAACCTCGTCAGGAAAATGCGTGCACCACACGAGACAACCAAACAGGAGCGATGGCCTGAATGGCTCTAGCAGTGTGTGCCGCGCGTACAGGGCAGCTTCAGAGGTCATGTGAGTCGGCTGTCACAGCAATGGCATGTCAAATATCCGTACCATAAAATCTTACACTGCGGCTAGCTGACTTCTTTTGATCGATGTCAGTATTATTTCAAAACTGCAGACGACCTGGAGTGGCCCTGTGACCAGTGTGACGTGCCTGAACTTCTGACCTCGTTATTGTATCTGTCGTTGTTTCGGCATGCGGGGGCTTTCGCCTATTGTTATGAGACTTAAATGACAATATTATAATAGGTCAGAGGATTTTACCGACTTTACCGTACGATGCACCGTACGATGGACTTATATCATGCCCTGTCTGAAGCTGATCATCATAAGTAGTTTGGACTCTTACTTGGTTAAAATTAATCTTTTCGTAAACGATAACCTGAGGCTTACTTGGTCCTGATGGGTACACCAGGAAACCTGCTACTGGATCTCTACATTTTGACACTTGTGCTATGGAGTAACGCTCTTTTTCCTTGCTTTGCTACAACCTCCCGGAGCTCCGTTGTATACCGGTCTCGGCTGCTCCTCGACAAAACTATGTTTCTACTGAAGCGTTCTAAATAAACTCATTTGTGAGTCAAACTGAAGTGCTTAGTTTAGTATTATGTCAATAAAATATACTGCGTTATACTGTGTTCCAGGTGGATGTGGAATAGACGGAATCTCGGGAAATGGGCCTGTCTAGTGAGCCGTAAGACAGACAAAAGCGTTAACGGCTTGCCACGGAGTTTTCAGCAGCCATATGAGTGGCTTAGTGACATTTCAGAAAAACATGTATTCCCAGTTCAGGCTGAGTACGCTGGTTATACGAAAAACGTCCAAGCCCCTGTTGTACAGTCACGCTGTGGTATACGAAACATAGAATACTTCTCTCAGGTTCTAGAAGGCTACAGTGTATCATCACCATGAGGTTAAATGTTATGATTCACATTACACAGGCCCTGGTGTGTGACATTTCTCATATCGAAAATTGAACTGCATCCCGTCTGAAAGGATTACTTATAGTTTGATGGCAATATATTACTTTTGAGTACTTTTACAGGAAGGTTCATTCCGAAAATGAATACGATCCATACTGAGAAGCCATAATAAATGCGACCATTTGATATGAATGGTTTGACGGAAGGATGATTGGTGGCATATCCCGTTTAGTTGCATGTTAGTAGCAGACGCGTACAGTCTTCATCACTAGTTGTGATGCTTATGTTATTCAACAGGAATGTGTAGTGTCCCTCGGCTTTCTGGAACAAATGATTTTTACTTACAGGATGAAATCTCAAATGAAGTGTGGGGCGTGGTTGCTGTTCTGTCTTCTGGAAAGATTTCGTAGCTCCACCTGATCTTGATATCCTTACATATAAATAAATATAAATCCATACATTTAAATCAGTAGGCCAAGGACAACCACTTGACGGTTTATCAAGATGCCAAGCAATTTTTTTGCCGGTGTACGAGTAATGGGCTCACGCAGGAAGGTATCTAAAGGTATCCGCATGAGAAGTCTTCATCCGAGGAGTCCGTCAACAATGAATCAATTGGAGTGAAGAGTAGCGGAGAAGTAGGTCAAGTTAAACGCACAGCTGATCACCCAGTCTCAGCCAAAAGATGCAGGCATGAAATACCAATGTCACGGCGTCTGCCTTCCGTGGTTAACTGTGAGGTGAACAGTGTTGATAATTCTCCATAAGAAAAAAATGGTCCTAGAATGCATCCCGACTTTTCGGCGTGGGACAACCTTGGGTAACATGTAGGATGTGAACACTGAAAAGCCCTTTGGTGCTAACAGCTAGACGTGTTCTAGCAGCCCTATCATGAAGAAGCGTCGGCAAATTACAGACGATATGGAGGATATGGTGCTTTTATCTTTTGCCTCAGAAAATTTACTTTCCATAAATATCTCCGAACCCGAAGATTCATGTAGCGCGAGCAACCCCCACCGTTTATCTCTCAGTTAAACTGATCGGTTGAACTCAACTGATCATAGTGGATCAGATATTCCCAACCCCTTCGCCTTTCTATCTTATGTCTAGTGGGTGTACTCACAGCTCGCATGTGGATATTATGGATTGATAACTGTACCGCTGTACGACACACTGGGCGAAGAAGCACTGCATCATATACTGAACCAGAGTAAGTTTTATGTCATTTAATCGTCACAATGTCATAATATGTATTTGGGTTTCGAGCACCTGTCATGAAAAAGACTCTTCTTCCACTGAGCTGTGGTGTTCCCGATTAGTTAAAATAACCCAGAAGTGGTGAAAACTGTGCCCCTGCAAACTGGCACTAAAAGTTGAAACCAACATCCGGTTTAATTGTTCCTAGCGTAATTTTTTTAAAACCATTTACTCTCATGTCACCGTCGGATGAGCAGCGCCCCCTCTTATTCAGAAACAAAAATGGTAGATAAAGTCTCCATTAGTAAGCATATCAGATCTGTTGCACGTTAGATCGTTTAATATGATCAGCTTCTGAAGAAGTTATGTGGAATTGGTTAAGCTTTCCACAACTGCGCATTTCTGATTGGGTGTTTTCTCGGGATCGACTATGTAAGACCTCCTCAAGAAACTGTTCACTATTAGAATGATTGGAATCTACCATTTTGGGTGCAGTTAACTGCTATTTCTAATGTGTAGAACTGACCGTCAAATTAGTGGCTTCTTGAGTTGGTGATTTGGGGGTCACTTGAAATTCTCTAGTTTTGGAACGACCGAGCTTAATTGCATGACACCAAAACACCCATTTATTTGACTTTACGAAGGCCCGTCAGCTGATGCTCTAACACACAAGAATTCGATGTGTGGGGTTCTGTTTCAAGTTGATAACCAAACACACTGAACTACACTTGAACGGTAGCAACAGGCCAAAGCACCACCACAATACGGGCAACCACCCAAGTCGCGTAATTCTGTGTGATCGACTCGTCATTGGACTACCTATACCCATGCAATTTTAAAAATTTTCATTGCTCAACAGAGTATTTCATGTGTGCGGCTATTAGGTGCATTTCTCAATTTCTGCGGATAGAGTCAGTCTGTTTTAAAACAGTTTATTTTTAATAACAAATTTTCAGTAGGATGAAACTTCTGTTGATACTTTCAAGTCCCACATCACTCTTATGTGGACAGTTCTCTTCTTCTCCTGGTGCAATTATTTCGGTGAGTCCACACCAGGTGTTAGAAGATCTGGATTCGAGTTTCGGTCGTACTAGGGCTCATCAGCAGGGCTCAACCTCAGCTGTGTCGGGGGTTTGGCCCCAGTTACCTTACATGCGACGTGAGCGCTTCCCCCTTTGTTGTGGACTCATCAGAATGGTTGCGTCAGGACATGAGGATGTTTGTTCGACGGAGAATAATTCGGACGTGAATTCTACAGACCTCGCGACCCGCTAAAACTTCAAAATATATTCATTACCTTTTCAACCTTCACTTTGGGTCTTTAAGTTGTGTTGACTCCGTTGACGTGCTATGTTTCACTGAATGAAACCGACCAAATACATTACTGCTTAAGGTGTGAGAACTAATGGTTTTGTGGGAAATGAGTACATAAATTTGCTAAACGTTCGCCATATGTCTATGTCCTGTGCTGTGAAATCTGCAGTTTTATGTGCCCGTTGGGGGGATTTCTATGAGGATGACCTCTAATTATATTGACCTTCAAAAGAACTTTTTATACTATTACATCTGTATATACAGCGGAGATCTCTTTGGTCGTTTGTGATACATTCGAACGTGCCGAATCCATACTAAAGCAAGGGAGCAAATACATGAGTCATCTCGTTGTTATCAAGATGGATGAGGCTGATCGCAAGAAATTGATGAAGAAAGCCAAAGATTCGGTTGCGATTTTCACGTTTGCCGAGATGCTGGTGAGTTGATTGTTACGTATTGAGTCTGTATGATACTGGTACGAAATATTACGATAGTGGGTGGTTGGCTTTGTGGATTAATCGGTCACACTATTGGTTACACCGTGATGTCTGAACATATCTATAGCACAGGCAATTTGTTTGAAGACGGATGTGCGAATAGGATTGGCGGACAACCTCGTAGAGACATTAGCAGACCTAACTATGTTAGCCTTGCAGCGAGTGCTGACACTACGTCAGTGAGTACAGCACATATGTCGTCGGTCCATTGTTTTCTGTCTACCCAGAGAGGACCGTACAACCATGTCTGTCCAGGGATGCCCAAGAAGGGACCAATTCGCTTGTCGTGGATAAACAGGAGGTTACAGGTGCAGTACAGTATCGTTTCATCTGTTAGAAGGTGTAGAAGTAAACCTCGACTTTGCGATTTTAGCAAGTCCAACAGTTCTGAACATTCTCATATCCACTAGGAGCACTGTTTTGGTTAGAGTCAGGCAAAGTTGGAGTTAGATGTAAGGAGATTCTTGATGAAACACGAGAACCTGCCCATATTTTCCCGTGTTATTTTACCTGCCAACCTGAATTGTGTTTCTACAGATGTAAATAGAGATGTCTGAATATAGGAGTTCAATTAGAATTGTGTCAGTGTCTGTTGCACAACGTATGAAGAAATCAGTGTTGCTCATTTTTATTTTGTCGCTGACTTTTCAGGTTCGAGGTTTGGGAAAAGAAAAGGATGTTCCCGTAAGTGATTACGAAGACTCAGTTTGATAGTCTTTTTCTCACTAATACGCCGATCTGGCACAAGTGGAGGGAGTTACCAGTGCCCGGATTTGAGCGGAGAAATATCCTAACGCAGTGCCTGAAGCGATTTCAGGTCTAAGCAGAATCCTTTATACCGTTTTGGAATCACCATCAAGCTGATGCCCAAACAGGCTTTGGATGTTAAAAAATCGAGCTGGTGTTAAATTGCTGCATGAAGACTCTAATGGTAGGATGAGGTGGACATATTTGAGCATGAATTCAATTGGAAAACGCTTGACAAAGCTGGGAGAATAGAGCTTTTGAAATTCTAGAATTTCCCGCACGTTATTGCTCAGAGTAGTCCCTAATGCATTGAGCAATAAGCTGACCAGGTGTCTCACACCAAATCAGGTTCAACTGAAAGAAATAGAGCTTCATGTGCGGCAGTAGTAACCACAAGAGGGGTACTAAAATACCATGGAGGGAAAGCCGATTGTGGCGTTGGAATGGATGAGGTACAGCTTTTTTTCTTTTTCACAGATAGGACATTCGCAGTGTGATGGAAAAACTGGAGGGAGCAGACGTGGATGGACACAGGCTGGTCGACAGAATTCAACTAAATGAGGAAAAGTAACACTCGACCGTCAGTTGTGAATTAGGAGTGCTTGCTTAGGCAGAACAAAACGTGAGAACAATTGCGTTTTAAGCTGGAGCCGGATTCTATTCGCAGTCCCTTGCGGTCAGTAGCACACTGATATTCTTCTGCGAAATGGGCAGCTTGCAGGACGTCTCGAGTATCTGTTACGGAGTTATTAAACAAAGTCTCATATGTGCTATTGACCAACAGCGTCTTCAGCAGTTTCGTCATTCATATGAGTCCATAATCCATCACTCAGCCAAACTGCTATTAACGTTTGTACTGATTTTCTCAGCTTCCCGAGACTACGCCTATCTGATGAGCCCTGTACGTGGCGAAACTGGTAGTGGGTTGTTTGCGGGTTTTGAGCAATCATCCCACACTACTTAATTGCTATGCTTAGTGCTTATGTTGACGAAATGCTCGACGGTTTTACTGGCTTGTGTGAGAGAACTAAAACCGACAGAGAGGGAGGCCGCATGTATGAACAAAAGGTAAGTTGACATGGTGTGAACCGTGAGAGCGAAATAGTGTGACAACCGAAAGTGCATATTAGACAAGGTCATCTACCGGTGACGTGTGGAGTGGTCTGCAGATGTCAACAAATGTGAACACACCCACGCACGAACTGTTCACATGTGTAGTGCTCTTAGTGGATCGCCACATCGTGATTTGTGTCTGACGGGGATGAGTACAATGTAAAGCCAAAACACAAGTAGTTTAGTTGCTGGAACCATATTTGGCTGAGTTTTTTCTCACAACACAGACCAATGTACATTCCTTTCGGCGGGAAGCGTATGCCTACGCTTGACAAAGAGAAAATATTGAGCATGTGTGCATAGTTTTCGAAGAATTATTCCAGCAGTGTGAATGTGAATCTGTTCTCACTGGCGTCACTCTGATTAGTAGTGGATCAGATGCATACTCTGTATCGTCTCTGTTAACACAGTCCCGTTATCAGTCCACCAATCAAGTGGCTGTAAGGTAATGTCGGTTTCCTTAGACCTAGAAGAATTTAGTCACAGGGCTCGGTGTAAAAGATGAGGAGAATGTTGTTTGTAACCAATTATGGTCGGTTTCATTAGGTAAGCTCACCAGAGAGTGACAACTACCTAAGCTATCTGGCTTGGAAACCAATCGCACAACCTACCTGAGAAAATATGAAGTCGATTTTATCCTGAATGTGGTCACAATTGTCACAACTGTTCACGGCCTCAGGTAGTCTGTTTAGACACTTTACCGGAATCCCGAAATCTAGTAAGTCAGATTCATGAATCAGATAGTGGAGCAAAATGGATGAGCAAAGTCTGAAAACCATGTGGAGGTCGTCCGATAAGGAACACATCGAGAGATTTTGACTTTTAACTACAGATCGTTCAAATCGGATCTAACGTCAACCGTTAGATAAATGAAGACGAAAAACAAATTTGGGTCCCTTTTTATTGGCATACTATTGATCATAAGGTTGACGGAAATTATTCTCCAACCACGTATTGGTTCTACCCACCTTTAGACTCATCTGGTAGGTGTAGAATACCAACTTATCAAGTAATCACCGTGCTGGGGTTTGGTGGGGAGTTAGAGCACGCAGCGTTAAGCGAAGTTGCTTTCTCAATCGACCTGTCGTTTACTCAACTTCGGGAAAATTAGAACGTAGATAAGTTGGTGTTCTACACCTACCAGATGAGTCTAAAGGTAGAACCAATACGTGGTTGGAGAATAATTTCCGTCAACCTTATGAGCAATAGTATGCCAATAAAAAGGGACCCAAATTTGTTTTTCGTCTTCATTTATCTTACACCTCATTTATTCACCCTCTTTTGAATAGTCTACCTTCTCGTTCATTATTTCTGACTACTGATAATTATATATTTCTCTAAGGCTACATTCTCAACTCAGTTCATTCGTTTGTATGCTGTTTGCAGACTTCGTGTAGTAGCATACTGAACTGCCTTATTTTACATCCCACAAGGTTGTGGTTTTGTATAAGACATTGAGTAGAAATGCTCATATGAGTATTAACATCTGATTGGCTTGGTTTCGTCAGATTGTAAAGAAATCAATATTTTCAATTCGCGCCACAAACGGATCCGAGAACCGCATACAGGATTCCCGACGGGAAGTGTTCTTGTGGACCACATTTTTACACTTCGTTAGATGTTATAGTGACGGGGTACGTATAGGCTCCGTAAAATCTTGGTGTTTCTTGACTTCACGAGTGTATCAAACTACAGTTCAGGCTATATCGTTGTACAGTTGCGAGACTTGGTCACTTCGGGCAGAGGTATATGACCACTCATCTATCAGAACTATGACCGGGGTCTGCTGGAACCAGCGAATTCGGAGTGAGGTAATCAGGACACGGGGCCTTGGTGAAGCAGTGAGCATTCCCCTTAAAGAATATATCCAGCAACGCTAGCTAAGTTGGATGGGTGGTAGGTTAGGCATGTACAGTTATCGCCGACCGAGAAGAGCCTTGATTTCCGTGTCTAAATCCGGATCAAGGGAACATAGAGGTAAACCGATTCTGGCATTGAAGAGGTTAATATTACAAAAAGTTTGAGTGCCGTTGCGCTCAAGGATGAGGTTTACATGATCCTCCCTGTTTTGGCTGGAGACAATCCACAAAATGGTGACTGCTATCAGTTTCTATGCCGATTGACCGACTGAGTGCTGGAGGTGCGGGCAACTGCGATGTTTGTGGTAGGCTAACCCTAGGTCATCCTCCCTGCCTCATTTCTTCTTTGGCTTACGACACTCCATTGAAATAAACTAACCTGGTTGTACAGTAGTGAAGCATCAGTGTTCTCCTCTGATGTTTCTGTCAATGATAATAATAATAATAATGATAATAATAAAAACAATGATACGTCAAACAGCATTGGAAAGTGTCGTATGTAGCACTACTCAGTTTTCAGAAGGAATGCAGCCGTTTCATTTCCATTGGTCCTAAATGCATACGCTAGTCACAATATCATTATTCACACGTAAGCACTTCCTTTGGAAACGTCCTTTCGGTTGGTTTTGCGGGTCTGGTTTGTTTGTCTGCGTCCTGCCCAGGAAAGATCCGCGGAACTAATTAACTACTTTTTATGCAGTACTACCAAACGGATTGTTTTAGTCCATGATTTCCTTTTTATTAAGGAGCCAAATCCTGACGATTTGTTCCTCGTGTGTTACACGAGCGGAAGTACCGGTGAGTTCCGAAAAATGCGAGTGATACTTGTGAAATATATGTTCATGTGAAGATAACCAGTAAGCGGAATAAGAGAGCAAGAGAATATCCATGGTTCTTGATACACCTTTGGACATCATAGATACTTCGAGTTTTTGTGTACATCTGGAAAAAACTACATATTTTCAAAAATGACACCCAAGTGACCAACATACCAACTTCTTTGATTATGTTGATTGTTTTATTATGTAGGCAGGTGTATGAGAGATTTAGCAACCGTTTACTTGGAAAACACTCGAGTCGTGGTGAGGATGTACAGTATATATATATATATATATATATATATATATATATATATATATGAAGTCATTACCTGCAGTTGTGTGCG